AGGAGGAGGAGGAGCTGGAGCTGGAGGAGGAGGATGAGGAGGAGGAGGGATAGGAGGAGGAGGAGGAGGGGAGGAGGAGAGGAGGAGAGGAGAGGAAGGGAGGAGGAGGATGAGGGTGGAAGAGGAGGAGCAGGAGGCGGAGGAGGAGGAGAGGAGGAGGCGGTGGAGAGGAGGAAGGAGGCGGAGGAGGAGGAGGAGGCGGAGGGAGGAGGAGGAGGGCGGAGGAGGAGGAGGAGGAAGAGCATGAGGAGGAGGAGGGAGGAGGAGGAGGAGGAGGAGGAGGAGGGGAGGGGGAGAGGAGGAGGAGGAGGAGGAGGAGGAAGAGGAGGAAGAGGAATAGGAGGAGGAGGAGTAGGAGGAGGAGGAGGATTGTAGTGTACGCTGATGCCCCCGAGTATAGGCATATCCCTGTACAGTCGGATTGGGCACAAGGGCTTTCCCACCCTTGTACTGGTGCCCCAAGGTACAAGGACCGTTGCAGGCACGTGGTATGAGTGTCAACATATTACTCGTCAGCCATCTCCGTCGTGGTATCCGTTACGTTGGTCCTTTCTCAGCTTGTGCGGCAGGGAAGTTGGAGCGTATCTGCGCCTGCCGGAGGCGGGTGTTTGAGAGGCTATGTTTTCCTCACATCGTGCCGGCTTGGAGGAGGCCGCGGAGTGAGGACGCCAAGGGAATGAGTGGGGAACACTCAGACTACGCAGCGCTGAATGTGCGTGCGTGCATGTGCGGCAAGGCGCAACCAGGGTATAGGTGGATGGTATATGTGGTCAACGCAACCCCAGGCCACCTCTGTACGGCATCTCAGGTTTGACGGGGGTGCCGAGGATGAGCTGTCTGCCCCCAGAATCGCGTTGTAATACGTTGGCTCGCCAACCATGTCGAAGGGCCCCAGGATCGTTCTCTGGGGGCCGCAAGGGCGGGACGGCTCGATCCCTTGAGGGGACATGCGGGCCTGATCAACCGCGGGGATGGTCGCCTTCCTGCTGGGCATGGGAAACCTGCCCTGCCGCAGGCTGGGGCGCCACCCGAGGGGTGCCAGGGGTGGCCTGCTGCACCGCAGGCGTATCACCTCACTGGGGTTGACACGGAAGGGCAACGCACAGCCAGGACGGGTGACCACCCCGAGGGTGACTTGGGGGGCTCACTACCCCGGCCGCCGATGTCGCCGCTGGCCTTGTGACCGGTGGGCCCTGTTCCACACTGGAGCCGTCCTCCGCCCTTGGGAAAACCTGGGGGGCCCACGGGGGAAGACGCCGGCCTCGGTAGGCCACTGACGGCGGCCCGCACGGGTCTCTGCACCAGCCGGAAGCGGTTGCACGTGAGGCGAGACCTTTTCCTCACCTCCCGCGTATCCCAGGCATGCCAGCAGCGGAGCACCGTGGCGAAGCGGGACGAATGCCCGCATTTCTGCCCCGAGATTCGGCCTCGTTCAGAGGACACTGTTTGGGTGTGCCGGCCCATCCTCGGAACATCGGGGTGGCGCCGAAATTTGTGACATTCTCGTTGCTCGATGCTTGGCTTGCGCGACGCAGGAGCTGGAGGTTCAGGGCACCCGCCGGAGGCGGTTGCAAATGGGACGCTGTGACCTTCTCATCTCCTGCCCTCGCGCTGGAGAAGGCTGAGAAAAAATATACATGAGACGAGTGGGGGCACACATGCGACAGAACTCTTAGAGCCCGTACGTACGCCAGCGACAGATGCTCAACGGGGTACGCCTGTCCCCCCAGTTGGCAACTCTGTGGTGCTGACGGGGGCGCTGATCTGACAATAGGTGTAGACCTCCCCCCGAGATTTGACTTTTCCGCCACTTGTAGATGATATAAATGACCGACACTGGGTTACATGTGAGATCTTCTCCTCACCTCCCGCAGCCCAGCATGCCAACGCTGGAATAACATGGCGAACCGGAACAAACGCCTGCATTTCCGCCCCGAGTTTCGGCCTTTTCATCCGGACAATGTTTGGGTGTGCTGGCCTATGCGCAGTCGTATTGCGCTGGCCAAGGCAGCTGCTTGTCCAGTGGGATGCTATCCCATTCTCGGAACGTCGGGGTGGCGGCGAAATTCGTGATGTTTGCGTTGATCAATCTTTGACTTGCGCGCCAAAAGGAGTTGGAGGTTTAGGGCGCCCGCTGGAGGCGGTTGCAACTGGGTCGCTGTGAATTCCTCATCTCCTGCCCTGCGCTGGAGAAGGCTGAGCAAAGGCATGCATGAGACGAGTGGGGGCGCACGTGCGACAGAGCGCTGACCGCGCGTGCGTACGCGAGCGACAGATGCTCAGCGGGGTACGCCTGGGCCCCCAGTCCGCAACTCCGCGGAGACGACGGGGCGCTGAACTGACAATAGGCGTAGACCACCCCGAGAGTGGACTTTCTCTCCAGTTGTAGATTGCTGACACTGGGCGTGGCAGATTTACCGCAGGTAGAAGAATGCGAGGGGGCAGCAGCGAGTGACGATGAAGGGCGGGGATGAGGGAGGAGGGGCGGGGGAGGGTCTGGGAGCGCTCGACGCGCGGCGCCAACTCCTGTGAGAAAGCTCTCTTCCCTGAGCGATTTGTCGAACATCTGTTGCCATTTGTCCCCCGACCCCCGCCTGCCAACACTTCAGCGCGAACGTAGTTCGGACCTGCGTCAGCAATCTAGTCACCCGTCGTCGCCAGCGGCCCCGAGCGAGCACCAAGAGGCCCCTTCAGGGACCCCAAGAGGACTTCAAGAGGACCTCAAGAGGGCTTTGAACAAATATTCAGATGGCCGTGGCTATCTGAATATCTTATCGGGGGCCTCCCGGAATCCGTTCGGGGCCCAAAATAAACGCCGAGTGAGCGCCGAGAGGTCCCCCCACGGGCCCCGAGAGGCCCTCGAGAGAGCCCCGAAAAGGTATTTAGATGACCGCGGCCATCTGGACATCTTTTCGGGGGCCTCCCGGAGCCCGTTCGGGGTCCAAGACCTTCCAACCGAAATGTGAGAACCTATGTGATGTGCAGGACGGCTGGGCTTGTCGCTGGGCTGTGTCCTTGAGGCGATTGCCTTGCGATAGTGGCAAAATCGCAGAAGCTGCGGATGCACGATAGCCGGCACTGCCGCCAGCCAGTGTCCAAAAAGAGTCGAACTTTGGTAGCGGTTCGACGTGAGAGTGTGCAGGGCCGCCGGCCTTGCCGCCGTGCGACGTCCTTAAGGCATGTGCTTCGCGACGGGGGCAAGCGGGCACTGCCGCCAGACAGCGTCCAATAGGAGACGAACCTTGGTACCGGTGCGACGTGAGAGTGTGCAGGACCGCCGGCCTTGCCGCCAGGCAGCGTCCTTGAGGCATTTGCCTCGCGACAGGGGGCAAGCGTGCAAAATCTGCTGATGCACGCGAGCAGGCGCTGCCGCTCGGCAGCGCCCGACGGAGACGACTGCGAGTGCCGGGCCATTGAGCGTGCAGGGCCACCGGCCTTGCCGCCAGGCTGGAGAGGCATGAAAACGTGCAGTTCCGCCGGTTGTGCCGCCGGGCAACGTCCTTGAGGCAACGGCCTCGCGACGGATGTGGGCGTGCATCATCGGCGGGCGCACGATGGCCGGCACTGTCGCCAGCCTGCTTCCAAAAGGAGACGAACTTTAAGGGTGGTTCGACGCGGGAAGGCTCAGGGCCGCCAGAGTTTCTGCCAGGCTGTGCCCTTGGATGCACGAAGTCTGGCAGGCAACAGCTTCGCGACGGGGGTAAGCGCGCGTAATCAGTGGGCGCGATGGATCGCGTTGCCGCCAGCCAACCTTTCAAAGATGACGAACATTTTTTACTTGTTCGACGTGGCAGTTTGCAGGACCGTTGACCTTGCTGCCAGTTTGTGTCTTTGAGGCAGACGCCTCGCGACGGTGGTAGTTCTTCAGATTCTGCGAACGCACGATGGCTGGCATTGCTGCCAACTGGCGTCTCAAGGATGACGAACGTTGGTATGGGTCCGACGCGAGAGTGTGCAGGACCACTGGCCTTGCCGCTGGGCAGCGTCCTTGAGGCATCTGCTTCGCGACGACGGGGACAAGCGTGCATGCAGGCGGAGGAGGAGGAGGAGGAGGAGGAGGAGGAGGAGGAGGAGGAGGAGGAGGAGGAGGAGGAGGAGGAGAGGGAGCTCCGTAGCAATTTTGGCTCAAGCATTTTGGCTCAAGGTGGCTTACAGAGAGCTATTTGTTTTCGCACTCACAATCCCTGCTTGAGCTCCCAGTCTGGCAGGTTCCGTTCAACTTTCGTTCATGAGTCATGGCTTCCACTATGCGCCATGGGCTCGTCAGTCGGCGCCTGGTGAAATGTAGAATGCCACGGGGGGAGGCTGGCGCCAAGGAGGGGCGCCAAGAGGTGCCAAGCCCAAGGTGCAGTGCCCTGCCTGTGGGTGTAAGAAACACTCGTTCGGCATGACCCATTGCTACAACTGTGCTGCTCCTCTCCCTGCTCTCGGCTATCATCCTGGTTCGAAACGTCCTACTTGTGCTTGGTCCCAGTGCCCTCCTGGCGTCTTCCACGCGTCCCAACTCGTTCCCTGCGGCTACAAGCAGTCTGGCGGGGGCAAGGGGGGAGTTGCCGGCAGGGGCACGGGAGGCGGCGGCGGTCAGGGTGTGTCAGGCGGCGGCGGTGAGTGGGCGGGGGGCCCCGCTGGAGGCGGCGCACAGGGTGCTGCGACTGGAGCAGGTCTTGGTGGAGGCGTGCCGCCTCTGCCCTCAGGCCCCGTGCCCACCATCTCGGTCGAAGAGGCGGAGCATCGACCAAGGCCGGGGACACCGTCACGCCCCAGAGGTACGCGGACTACGCTGAGCACCTCAAGGCAGCGCAGCGTCAGCGCAGTGTGGCCCCGCAGAGCAACCGCTACATCATCAAGTCAATGTCGCTCATGACACGGTCAAGCGCTTGGAGAAGACGATCCAGGCCGATCTCGTCCGTGTGCTTCTCCTTCGGCGGGAATTGGCTGAGCAAGAAGACAAGCTAAGTGAAACTCGTGAATCTGTGGTACAAGCGGACGCAGAGTACAAGGCATTGGTGGTCAAGCTCAACCAGGAGGCCTCCATCGTCCCTGATGAGTCCGCCCAGTCTGTGCCTGCGTTCAAGCCCATCGCCCTCGCCGACCTCGTCGAGGGCCAGGCGGGCATTTCCTCTCTCATCTCTTGCGGCCTCTTGGAGTTCAATAGCTCGTCTGAAGAATGGGAACTCACTACTGGGGATCAGCGTGAGATCGATAAGCGTAATAAGGAACTTACTGATGGAGTGCAGTTTTTGGCGCACGAGCTATTCAAGCAAGTCGTGGATCATGCGCGGGCTCAGAAGCAGGTTCACGCTGACTACCTCACTCGCATGTGCAAGAAGAAGCGTCGTACAGAGGCAGGTGCTGCAGTTGGAGGTGGTGATGAGAAACCAGTTGCCGCTGCGGGAGCTGAAGGTGAGGCTGCCGCCGCAGGAGTTTCTGGGTCCAGAACTTCGGGTACTGAGCCTTCGGCTGCCGCTCCCCAAGGTGATAAGTCTGCCCAGGATGTGCGAGACAAGGTTGGTGCCGCTTTGCCCTGTGCCTCCCCCCCCTTTCGCGAGGGGGGCCTGAGCAACGAAGCATCAACTGTCTCGCGCGGCGTCGGTAGGCAGTTGTCTCATTTTGTGACCTCGTACTGTATATTTTTTGCGGACAGGCAGTCGGGCATCGACTCCCAGCCCAGGCTTTCTGGCATCCGTCTTTTCAAACGTCTGAGGGCTGAAGTTCCTGGTCTTGTCTCTGCGGGGTTCCAGGCCTTCCCTGCCCCTCTGACTCCGCAACATCTTGGCCTTCCAGGCGCTGCCCACGGTCCTCCTCTCCTCTCCTCTCCGCTCCCTGCTGCTGCTGCTGCTGCTGCCGTGGAGCCGAATGGAGTTGTTTGTTGAACATTATTAATTCTAAAGAATAATTATTGTTGGGACCCCTGGTGCACGGCCCCCCTGCGCCGCCTAGGCCGCAGCTACATTTTCATCATTTTCGTGAGGAAGCCTCAGGTAATTCGATGTGATCAAGATCCGGTTGTTTTGTTCCCACCCGCTTTCCCTTGCAAAAAACACTATAAAATGACATTTCTTGTTCTAATATAATCAAATTTCAAGAATCCCTTGCAAAAAATAAGGTAAGTGGACATTCGCGCGCGCAAGACGAAATCCTTCCAAAACCTTAGTGTTCGCAGCGATTTTAACATAAAAACATCAAAAAACCAATGGTTTTTCAACAAAAAATTGTCAAAATCTCATCCCGCGCGCTCTTGCGGATT